GCGGCGACCTGCGTGTTAGGGATCTGAGCGGTGGCCACCAGCGTTCATCAATTAAGCTCTTGATTGGCCGCCTTCAGGAATTAATTGCCGCACACTCCAGCTCCCAGGTGGTCCAGTCATTCGTACGGTTGTTCGGTAGATTGAAACTACCGAACAACCGGCAGAAAAGCATGAATATGGCTTTTCTGCATGGAAAAATAAAGTCTTTTAAAAGGGGGCCATAGTCCAAAGGCAGCAGGCGAGCAACCAGGCTTCTCCAATGCAATGTGGCGAGATTGGTCTCGTCACATTAATGTTACAGTATATAATAGTATTGATGTCACAGTATATTGTAGTATTAATGTCACAGCATATTACAGTATAGTGTGGTATTAATGTCACAGTATATTACAGTATATTGTAGTATTAATGTTACAGTATATAATAGTATTGATGTCACAATATATTGTAGTATTAATGTCACAGTATATTACAGTATAGTGTATTAATGTCACAGTATATTACAGTATATTGCATTATTAATGTTACAGTATATAATAGTATTGATGTCACAATATATTGTAGTATTAATGTCACAGTATATTACAGTATAGTGTAGTACCAATGTCACAGAATATTTCAGTATTTTGTAGTATTAATGTTACAGAATATTACAGTATATTGTAGTATTAATGTTACAGTATATAATAGTATTCATGTCACAATATAGTGTAGTATTAATGTCACAGTATATTACAGTATATTGTAGTATTAATGTCACAGAATATTACAGTATATTGTAGTATTAATGTTACATTATATAATAGTATTGATGTCACAATATATTGTAGTATTAATGTCACAGTATATTACAGTATAGTGTAGTATTAATGTCACAGCATATTACAGTATAGTGTGGTATTAATGTCACAGTATATTACAGTATATTGTAGTATTAATGTTACAGTATATAATAGTATTGATGTCACAATATATTGTAGTATTAATGTCCCAGAATATTACAGTATATTGTAGTATTAATGTTACATTATATAATAGTATTGATGTCACAATATATTGTAGTATTAATGTCACAGTATATTACAGTATAGTGTAGTATTAATGTCACAGCATATTACAGTATAGTGTGGTATTAATGTCACAGTATATTACAGTATATTGTAGTATTAATGTTACAGTATATAATAGTATTGATGTCACAATATATTGTAGTATTAATGTCACAGTATATTACAGTATATTGTAGTATTAATGTCACAATATATAGTAGTATTAATGTCACAGTATAGTACAGTATAGTATCAATGTCACAGTATATTACAGTATAGTGTAGTATTAATGTCACAGTATATTATAGTATATTGTAGTATTAATGTTACATTATATAATAGTATTGATGTCACAATATATTGTAGTATTAATGTCACAGTATATTACAGTATAGTGTAGTATTAATGTCACAGCATATTACAGTATAGTGTGGTATTAATGTCACAGTATATTACAGTATATTGTAGTATTAATGTTACAGTATATAATAGTATTGATGTCACAATATATTGTAGTATTAATGTCACAGCATATTACAGTATAGTGTGGTATTAATGTCACAGTATATTACAGTATATTGTAGTATTAATGTTACAGTATATAATAGTATTGATGTCACAATATATTGTAGTATTAATGTCACAGTATATTACAGTATATTGTAGTATTAATGTCACAATATATAGTAGTATTAATGTCACAGTATAGTACAGTATAGTATCAATGTCACAGTATATTACAGTATAGTGTAGTATTAATGTCACAGTATATTACAGTATATTGTAGTATTAATGTTACATTATATAATAGTATTGATGTCACAATATATTGTAGTATTAATGTCACAGTATATTACAGTATAGTGTAGTATTAATGTCACAGCATATTACAGTATAGTGTGGTATTAATGTCACAGTATATTACAGTATATTGTAGTATTAATGTTACAGTATATAATAGTATTGATGTCACAATATATTGTAGTATTAATGTCACAGTATATTACAGTATAGTGTGGTATTAATGTCACAGTATATTACAGTATATTGTAGTATTAATGTTACAGTATATAATAGTATTGATGTCACAATATAGTGTAGTATTAATGTCACAGAATATTACAGTATATCGCAGTATTAATGTTACAGAATATTACAGTATATTGTAGTATTAATGTTACAGTATATAATAGTATTGATGTCACAATATATTGTAGTATTAATGTCACAGAATATTACAGTATATTGCAGTATTAATGTTACAGAATATTACAGTATATTGTAGTATTAATGTTACAGTATATAATAGTATTGATATCACAATATATTGTAGTATTAATGTCACAGTATATTACAGTATAGTGTAGTATTAATGTCACAATATATAGTAGTATTAATGTCACAGTATAGTACAGTATAGTATCAATGTCACAGTATATTACAGTATAGTGTAGTATTAATGTCACAGTATATTACAGTATATTGTAGTATTAATGTTACATTATATAATAGTATTGATGTCACAATATATTGTAGTATTAATGTCCCAGAATATTACAGTATATTGTAGTATTAATGTTACATTATATAATAGTATTGATGTCACAATATATTGTAGTATTAATGTCACAGTATATTACAGTATAGTGTAGTATTAATGTCACAGCATATTACAGTATAGTGTGGTATTAATGTCACAGTATATTACAGTATATTGTAGTATTAATGTTACAGTATATAATAGTATTGATGTCACAATATATTGTAGTATTAATGTCACAGCATATTACAGTATAGTGTGGTATTAATGTCACAGTATATTACAGTATATTGTAGTATTAATGTTACATTATATAATAGTATTGATGTCACAATATATTGTAGTATTAATGTCACAGAATATTACAGTATATTGTAGTATTAATGTTACATTATATAATAGTATTGATGTCACAATATATTGTAGTATTAATGTCACAGTATATTACAGTATAGTGTAGTATTAATGTCACAGCATATTACAGTATAGTGTGGTATTAATGTCACAGTATATTACAGTATATTGTAGTATTAATGTTACAGTATATAATAGTATTGATGTCACAATATATTGTAGTATTAATGTCACAGCATATTACAGTATAGTGTGGTATTAATGTCACAGTATATTACAGTATATTGTAGTATTAATGTTACAGTATATAATAGTATTGATGTCACAATATATTGTAGTATTAATGTCACAGTATATTACAGTATATTGTAGTATTAATGTCACAATATATAGTAGTATTAATGTCACAGTATAGTACAGTATAGTATCAATGTCACAGTATATTACAGTATAGTGTAGTATTAATGTCACAGTATATTATAGTATATTGTAGTATTAATGTTACATTATATAATAGTATTGATGTCACAATATATTGTAGTATTAATGTCACAGTATATTACAGTATAGTGTAGTATTAATGTCACAGCATATTACAGTATAGTGTGGTATTAATGTCACAGTATATTACAGTATATTGTAGTATTAATGTTACAGTATATAATAGTATTGATGTCACAATATATTGTAGTATTAATGTCACAGTATATTACAGTATAGTGTGGTATTAATGTCACAGTATATTACAGTATATTGTAGTATTAATGTTACAGTATATAATAGTATTGATGTCACAATATAGTGTAGTATTAATGTCACAGAATATTACAGTATATCGCAGTATTAATGTTACAGAATATTCCAGTATATTGTAGTATTAATGTTACAGTATATAATAGTATTGATGTCACAATATATTGTAGTATTAATGTCACAGAATATTACAGTATATTGCAGTATTAATGTTACAGAATATTACAGTATATTGTAGTATTAATGTTACAGTATATAATAGTATTGATATCACAATATATTGTAGTATTAATGTCACAGTATATTACAGTATAGTGTAGTATTAATGTCACAATATATAGTAGTATTAATGTCACAGTATAGTACAGTATAGTATCAATGTCACAGTATATTACAGTATAGTGTAGTATTAATGTCACAGTATATTACAGTATATTGTAGTATTAATGTTACATTATATAATAGTATTGATGTCACAATATATTGTAGTATTAATGTCCCAGAATATTACAGTATATTGTAGTATTAATGTTACATTATATAATAGTATTGATGTCACAATATATTGTAGTATTAATGTCACAGCATATTACAGTATAGTGTGGTATTAATGTCACAGTATATTACAGTATATTGTAGTATTAATGTTACAGTATATAATAGTATTGATGTCACAATATATTGTAGTATTAATGTCACAGTATATTACAGTATATTGTAGTATTAATGTCACAATATATAGTAGTATTAATGTCACAGTATAGTACAGTATAGTATCAATGTCACAGTATATTACAGCATAGTGTAGTATTAATGTCACAGTATATTACAGTATATTGTAGTATTAATGTTACATTATATAATAGTATTGATGTCACAATATATTGTAGTATTAATGTCACAGCATATTACAGTATAGTGTGGTATTAATGTCACAGTATATTACAGTATATTGTAGTATTAATGTCACAGTATATTACAGTATAGTGTGGTATT